ACTTTCAGCGTTTTTTACATCACAGTTCACTTCAGTAAAATGTAAATTTAAATACTTTAATCCATGCAAACCTGAAGTTCAGTATTTTCCCAGACTTGTTGCTGCTTCACTTCAAGCTGAATTGTTGTTCATTTAAGAAGAATATGTGAGTGTTACATGCTATGGTTCATTTTAATTATTCAGATGAAGCAAGGTTAATTTTTTTCCATCTCTTATTAATTCACACTGAAAAAAAGCTCTAAACTAAATTCTAAACTAAAGTCAAGTAATCACGTTTTACTTTGCAGAAACACATTGCAAACAGCCAAAAAAAATCTTGTTTAATAAAATCAGGCAAACTGTATATTAACAAATTCTGTAACATTCTCAGAATATAGAAATAAATAAAACTGTAAAGTTTGCTGTATGAAAAGTCAAACCAAGATTTTTCCGACACTTTCAGCAATTCTCACATCACAGTCAATTCCCTATAGTTTAAAATGGGAACTTAATTTCAAGTTTTCATGGTTTAAAGTATTTGAGCATTTTCCCAGACTTGCTGCTTCTTCACTTCAAGTCGAATTGTAGTGCATTTACGATTAATCTTTAGGTATAACATGTTATAGTTCACTTTATTTTACAATTCCTCGCTTACATAATTGAACTACAGTGGCCTGAATCCACTCATAAAAGAAATACAAAAATTATATCTGGCGTCTGTATAATCTGTCATTTGATTGACTGTAAGTGCTGCTAAAGTGGAGGTTTATGGCTCTGTGAAAACAACCTTTAAAGTATATAGTGTAATTGTAATCAACAAACACACACTGATACAGTTCGATAAAAGAAACGTTTAACCTTTAATTTCAGAAATGTCCTTTACAAGAGACTGAAAAACACTTCATCTCGAAATTAAATGGTGCAATAAAAAAAGCTGTTTTCGCTTGCAGTGTCTCGCCCTAAACTCTTTGCATGAGGTTTGAAGTGATTGTTGAGCTCCGGGGCAGAAATCTGTACCTCTGATAAGACACAAAGCTGGTGTTCGGGGAAACAGACAGACATACAGACAGCGGGAGCTTTTTTTTGGGGTGGAGGGGGATTTCAGCCAGTCTAAAAATAGCTCTCATCGGATGGGGGGTGGGATCAGATTGACGTTACCATGGCGACAGCGGGAAGGGAGAGGATGGTTGGCATTGAGGTTTTAGAGTTGGATCAGACTGCGGAAAAGAGAAGACGATAAAGGTGTGGAGGCAGGATTGGTGAAGGAATGTTTAAGTTTTCCACATCACAGCAGCTGTCGGGTGAAAGCTCTGTAACTGTATCGTAACGCACGTCAGAATCGACACCAAACACCTGCCTAAAAATCACAGACTGTGAACATGGTCATCTGCAGCCTTGCACAGAAGACTTTAAAGACTCAAACTAGCTTGTGAAGATTTAAGCCAGCATATAACTTGGGAAGAATATAAAAGGTGTTACATGCTAATTTGTACCTTGCAACTTTTACTTTAAATTACTTTTAAATGGGAACCACCACTATCTTAAACACCGCATGAAGCGGAAGCTGCAATTGTTTTTTTTTGTTTTTTTGTTTTTTTGTCTTCATATTGTGATGCAGTTCCTAGAGAAATGGAATATTAAATAAAAAAGGCGTGGCTTGTTTTGTCCACAGCAAGCTGATTGGATGTAGTAAAGTGGGCATTTCGTTCAAGAAAGAACGGAAATGGGTTTTAGAAGAGTTTAAACCTAAAAGACACCTCCTGCTCATCATTTATGTCAGTTAAAGGGGTGTGGTCAAGTATGTTAGCCACACCCAATACCTCAAACAGACGTAATCTGAGAATTAAACTGAAAACAAATAGGGTTTTGCCTTTTTTATTTTATTTTAGATTACAAGGGCAGACAATTTTTTTCTCAATGGCGTGCACAGATTGTTCACCACCAAAACTAGCAATGTGAGCTAACAAAATCTTATGGTTAGTTTTGATTTTTTTTGTACTTTAAATCGAGCAATTCTGACCTTTTTTTCTAAATGGCGACTCCTTTTCTAACAGTTGTGAGGGCTTTTTGTGGAATGATTTTGAGAGTATAGTAACTAAACTTAGAAAGTATAATAGAAATAGAAAATAATATAATAACTTTTATTCAAGGTTTAATAATAAAAATAATAATTAATAATTCCTTACATTTATATAGTGCTTTTCTGGACACAGAAAAGCATCCACCTGAATGACGCGACACCAGCCATATTTCGCCAGACCGCACATCAGCTGATTGGTGGAGAGAAGACAGAGTGATGAAGCCAATTATGATATGGGGATGGTTAGGAAGCCACTATGGACAGTGGCCAGTGGGCAAATTTGGCCAGGATGCCGGGGTTAAACCCCTATTTTTTTTCTGACATCCTGGGATTTTTAACGACCACAGAGAGTCAGGACCTCGGTTTAACATCTCATCTAAAAGACCGCACTCACTGAGCAGTATTGAGTCCCTGTCACTATACTGGGGCGTTAATATCCAC